ATGCAGGCTATACAAGTAGCATTACACACGCTGCAAAGAAGGTGTTACCTCAAGATTGAGCGAAGGCAGTGGATTTATAACTGAAGTCCTAAATTATTCTTCTGTTTTTTTTCTTTGGAGGAAATTGCAGTATTTGTCTTCAATCTATTGCCTTATCAGCAAATGAGTCTCTATTATATTTTCTTGGCATTTAAAAAAACTCCCAAATTACAAAATCAAACTTAAAGTCTGAGAGTCGAACCATTGATTTGGGTCCAATAAACTTGTCAATGTTTAGGTTTCCAAATCAAACAAACAGTTTAGAAATAGTAGATTCTAATTTCAATACTTAAAAATCATTTGAAGTCGAATTGAACTGTTAATATAATTAAGAAAAAAGAAAAACAAATCCTAAGTTAGAGAGTTTGGAAAGCTGCTTGAAAACTAAATCCTAATTAAAATACTTGCCTAATTGAATTATGATTTGTTTTCTTTTATTTTTTTATTTTATTTTTATTTTTAAAATTTTTTTTTTTGTGAAGCCACAAGGCAAGTGTTTTACAAGCCAAGGGTTTGTTTAAGACTCATAGCAAAAGGCAAGTATCTTTATAAGCGATGAATTAAAATTATATAGAGTGGGGTTTGAATCAGGGCCTTATTCTAACTTCAAATATGGGGCCTTTTGAATATTAAGCTCCAGTTCGACAGAAATTAAAAAATATATTAATAGCAGATTTTGATAAAATTTGATGGAATGTGTAGTTTAAAAGTTGTGGGTCCTATGAAATGTGTGGTTAAACTTAGTTGTTGACTTTTACTTAGAAAATAGTTAAATACAATTTAAAAATAATTAAACATAATCAGAAAAATTGGAAGACAAAATACAAAGCAGATTACATAACGCATAGAAGCATCAGTTTAATTAAAACATTAATCAATACAATTACATTGGAAAACTGAAAAAAGGGACAAATAAAATGAAACGCAAGAACCTAGAGAGAGAAATGAATATCATTGCCTTTAGCAGCAGCTCATTGGATACGTATAACACCCACCACGAAAGTATCAGAAAAAGTAATGACTGTAAATTTTAAAGAGAGAAAAGTGACATTTCGTTTCTTGCAAAGAAAAAGAGAAAAAATAATGGCGGGGAAGATAAATGGTCAAATTAATTATATTTAAAGAAAGTAATGGTTGGGATATATTTATATGATACATAAATGTATGTGATAGGTTTTATGCCATTTATATGAACTTTGCAGAGATGTTTGTATTTTCAAATTTTATTAGCTTCTTGTATTTGCATATGATAATTCTAATTTAAAGAATTTTGTAATTACAATCTTTACTTGTCGTCAACCAATCAATTATAACCGTACATAATTTGGGACCCTCTTTAAGTTGGGCCTTAGTTGATCGTCTATGCTACCTATAGTCAGGGTTGGCTCTATGTTTGATCAACTCGGATCGATGTTTGATTTTCGACATGGCAAGTATGAATTTGAATACTCCGCTTTTGAATTGCAACACCAAACTCTTGTTATGGTAGGCTTTTTGTTTGGAAGCTGGAGGAAAAAAGGATTTAGTTGTATTTTATTGCTCGTGGTGATAATTGAAGCAAATTTGGTACCCAAAGTAACCCTGTCAATATTTAGTAATTGAATTTACCCTAGTTGGGCTTTGTGGAAGAAGTGAAGAATTTTGTCGAATAATTTTTTGATCTCGAACACGCCACCTTTTGCCAGACTCTTTATTGTATTATATTCTCCTACTGTGTCAGAAATTATTTAATTGTAACCATGTAGTATACAACACATATTAAGATTGACCAATTATCCAACTTATTAGTTTGGTCAGGATAGATCCCTTGTAAGCCTTACTTTTGATTATAATGAATTTTCTAACTCTGTCCATGGTTTTTTCCAGTTGGGTTTCTGCATAAATCTTGTATTCTAGTAATTGTTTATTTTCATATTGCCTATATCTCACCCTTAATTGATAGCATGACAGAATGATGGAAGACCACACAATTGCACTCCTCAATTGCATCGACACCTCATACGGACAAATCGTGAGAATTTGGAGGCAGTTGCTGGAAGCATGCATTCTGCTGACTGAATAGAAACAGAAGCAAATATTAAGCAAATTGTTAATAGGGACACAATGGTTAGGTTCTGTATTTAGGCAGGACACACAATTGCTTTTGATTCTTTTTCAGTAGAATCTTCAAGATGGTGCACCTTTTGCTAGTAGGCATGGCTAAACATTTACCTAATAAAGTACTTGAGAGATTCGGAGGATGAGAAGAGTGGTAAAATAGTGTTAATGTATTTCAAGACCATGATTCTGAATGGGTTCAATCAATAATTGGAAGACGTAGGGGGTGCAAGTGATGGTTCATGGAACTTGTTGCCATATTGATTTGCGACATTTATGACATCTACAATCTGGAACACTTTGGCCTTCAATGTTGACACTGGAGGATTCAGCAACAATGTACATCGCTGGCAAGGTACGAGTACTTGAGTTTTAGTCTGAGAAGTAAAAAATGGTCAGATACACCAAGAGTTAATTTTCTTCTCCGTTCATTGCTCTTTGCTACTGAAGTTGTCTTATGCAGCCATATTTGAATATTTATGGTTACATCTAACTAAACAATTAAGTGTTTATCTTGATTATGTTGAAATACGTGATGAAGTTTCCCACCCTACATATAAATAAAGTCTCTTTTACAGTCTCACTCGAACAGGCATATCATCTTCTCTAGTTATTTTACTGACCTACCATTATCATTTAATATATTCTGGAAAAGGCAGACAACGTGTCTACAACAATCATCTTAATTCTTTTCAAGTCATAAGTATTGGCCTATGATTCATGTGGTCTTTAGTCATTGGGTAGTTAATCTATAAGATATTGTCAGTGTAATGATATGACTACAATGGAAATATGCTCTAAAAATATTCTATACTTGTGCCGTTAAAAGTCAATTGAAATGACAATTGGAAATTTGATTACGTTTTGTTTCTGTCATGTAATACTTTTTTTAAATGTTTCTCATTTTATTCATTTACACAGGGTTCATTTGTGTAAGCTCTCTCCATACCCACCCAGAAGCTTATTGGAATCTCATGTACCTTATGGCATCCTCCGCGCAGTATACAGTCAGTACTATTCGAATTCTTCAACTCCACTGGCAATATTGAGTTCCTCCCCTCGATACTCTCCAGCTATGTCACTAGCACATGCTTCTCCTGCGTCGAAGCAGTCCTATGGAGATTCTACTCCACAGTCGAGTGTAAAAGATTCGAGATATTTTAAGGCTTCATCAACTCATGGTCAAGATCAGTATGATACGCGATCACCCCAGAATTGGCCGGTCACGAACTCGACCACTTTACCCCAAACTTGACCTCCCTCAAAACTGCCAATCTGAGGTTGGGTCAATGAGGTCGGGACTATATGTCGTCATGCCAAGACTTTTTGACGACCTATGGGAACACAGATTCTACCCAGCCTATACTTCTGACCTAGCTAGATTCCCTTTTCGACTCAAACAGTGGTTGAATACTTGGAATGAAACACTATCTCCTTATCCTTGTAGGATAAGGATCACATGTGGCTAAGTCCTTCTAGGACTTTATTATCAGCACCTATAAATACATAACCCGGGCTCATTCTTGAGGTATGTTTTTCATTATTTCCAGTTTATAGCCTCACGCACTAAATTCCCTATCTGACTTAAGCATCGGAGGGGCGATAAGCACATACCTCGTTGCTTTTGTTTCAGGTATTGGAAGACCGCTTGTGTTCATCAAAGTTCAGAGTTCGATCATCAAGTTTGAGATCTTTCAGGCACTATTTTTTTGGTAGCATCATTGGCGCCATCTGTGTGAAGACCAAAAGCCATGGTCAATACACGTTTAGGTCTTCCTCCAGCAAGCTCATCCGTCCCGGATAAGCCTCCTCCTCCTTAGGAACGCCATGTCCCTCAAGAAGAATCGTCAGAGATGCCAACACCTCCTCAAGCTATTGTCACCATCGGAGCTTTCAAGGAACTTCGTCAGCAAGTTGCTATACTAACCTAATTGTTATGCCAAAGAAATTACACCCGTCACATAATCCAATCCTCGAAGGTGGTTTTATAGCAGATGCCAGGGCTCGAGTCCAACGTACAGCTCATGATGATGGCTGGGTTGGAACTTTAGGTACACCGCAAGTGGCTTCAGGTTCAAGGTCCGTTACAATGGACTTCGCTGAATTCCCTAAAATTATTTAAGAATGGATAGCAGCGGGTATGCAATAAATACTCGGGCTGCAACAAGATTCATCCCCAATATGTCGTTCACTTCAGAAGTTCTCTCGTATCCTCTTCCAGACAGGTTCAAGTATCCTCGAATAAAGGAGTACGATGGGACAGCCGACCCATCAATCATCTTAATGTGTACACCAATATCATGAACTTACAGGTTGCACTAGATGCAGTAATGTGCAAGGCCTTTCCTCAGACCCTCACAAATGCAGCTAGAGGTTGGTTTTCCACATTGGAACCCAACTCTATCGCCTCTTTCTCAAATTTGGCCGATAAGTTCTTCATTTTCTTTACACTCAACAAGCAAATTAGAAAGACAGCCGCATCACTCATGCAGATGCGTCAAGGACCCAACGAGGCACTACGTAGTTTCATGACCAGGTTCAATAAAGAAAGGCTTCAGATCCCTGATCTATATATCATTGCCACAATCTCAGCTTCGACATACGCCATTAAGTGTGAAGCATTCAAGATGTCCTTGTCTAAGACCCCACTGAAGTCAATCACCGAGCTACTCACACGAGCTGAGAAATACGTCAATATCGAAGAAACCATGGCCCCAAGAAGAGAAGTTTCCTCATTAGGAAAGTCTGATCAGAAAAAGCCGTATGAGTCCAATCTAAGATAGGATATACCTCAGGTCAAGCCAAGGCAAGACCCCTTCTCAACATCCTTTACCTTTTTGAACACCTCGAGATCCAATATTCTGATGGAGATCAAGGGTTCGAAGGAACTGAAGTGGCTTCCTAGATTGCGGTCTCCACCTGATACTCGCGACAAGAGCAAGTACTGTGATTTCCATAGAGATCATGGACATACAACGGAAGATTGTTTCGCCTTGAAGCGGGAGATTGAAGCTCTTATAAAAGGGAGATTTTTGGGCTTTTACATTAGCAATGACAAGTGCCCAATGAATAATCAGAACAGAGACAAGGGCCTAGAGGGTCTGGGAAACAAGCAACAAACCACAGGTACTATCAATATCATTATCAGGAGAATAACCTCGGGAGGAGATTCTAGCAGCGGGTGTAAACAATTTACTAGCAGCCTCCAATCATCTCAAGATCAGATCTTGTTTCTACAGAGGACATCACTTTTGGAACAGGGGACTTGGAAGGCATAGCATTCTCTCAGGATGATGCTCTGGTCATATCGGCCATCATCACCAACTTTGAATTCAAGAGAATTCTGGCAGACAATGGAAATGTAGCTAATGTACTATTTCATGAAGTCTTCGTTCAAATGGGGATCTCATCGAAGCACCTCAAGCCAGTCAAAACACCTCTCCAAGGATTTGGAGGTGGGGTCATCACCCCGAAAGATATTGTCGGGTTGCCTTTAACATTGGGGGACAGAAGGTAAACAGGTGACACAGATCACCACTTTTGAATTTTTCCGTACTCCAATGGCCTACAACGCCATACTGGGAAGACCATTGCTCAACAGAATTCAAGCTATTGTCTCAACTTTCCACTTGGCTATGAAATTTCCTACAAGTAATGGAATCGGGGTAGTTCGAGGTAGCCAAACAGTGGCATGACAGTGTTATGTGACTAGCATTTGAAGAATCAAGAGCGACGTCATGCAGGTTACAGAACTCGAGCACGAGCACAGGAATCATGACAAATTGTCTCCGGTGGAAGGATTGGAAGAGGTCGAGCTCGAGCCTAGCAGGAAAGTGTTAGTCGGATGGGAGTTGAATACAGTAGTCATGGCTAAACTACTGAATTATCTCTCCTGCAACATTGATATATTTGTTTGGAATGTTGAGGATATGCCTGAATTGACCCAGAGGTTGCAATGCACAGACTCAATGTAAACTCGAAGGCAAGACCTGTAAAGCAAAGGTAAATGCAGTTTGCACCAGAAAGACGAGAAGTCATAAATGAGGAGATTGCCAAATTTGTTAACGCACAGTTCATTCGGGAAGTACAATATCCCGATTGGCTTGCTAACATAGTTCTTATCAAGAAAGATAATGGGAAATGGAGAGTCTACATTGACTTCGTGGATCTGAATAAAGCATGTCCCAAAGACAGTTATCCTCTACCTCGAATTGAAAACTTTGTGGACAGTATATCAGGTCATATGTTGTATAGCTTCTTGGATACTTTTTTTCAGGGTATCACCAAATACTCATGGCGAAAGAAGATCAAGAGAAGACCTCATTCATGGCAGACTCAGCCATATATTGTTACAGGGTTATGCCCTTTGGACTAAAAAATGCTGGAGCAACATATCAAAGGTTGGTAAACAAGATCTTCGTCGAACTAATTGGGAAAACGGTCGAAGCATATGTGGATGGTATGGTGTTTAAAAGCAAACAGGTGAATAATCATGTCTCTGATCTTGAGGAAGTGTCTGCCACGTTACGAAGATACAGCATGAAGCTCAATCCTACAAAGTATGCGTTTGGGGTGGCATCTAGAAAGTTCTTAGGTTTTATGATCACACACAGAGGAATAGATGTGAACCCTGATAAAATCCAAGCTTTGATAAATATAGAAGCTCCTAAGTCCAAAAGGGACATTCAGAAGTTGACAGGTCGCATAGCAGCACTGAATAGGTTTGTTTCCCTGGCATCGGACATTTGTTTTTCCTTTTTCAAACTACTTAGGGAAAATAAAAGCTTTGACTAGAATGAGGAATGCAACTTAGCTTTTCAGGAGCTCAAACAGGCACTATCAACACCTCCAGTCCTTACCAAACCCGAACCCGATGGCACGTTGATATTATACTTGGCCATTTCCCAGAATGCAGTAAGCGAAGTCTTGGTAAAGGAAAAAGAAAGAGTTCAGCAGCCTATCTATTATGTAAGTAAAGTACTCCTTGATGCAGAAACATGGTATACACTTGCAGAACAGCTGGCCCTCTCTTTAGTAATAGCTGCCAGAAAGTTGCGACCGTACTTTCGGTCACATCCAATTGTGGTACTCACTAACAAACCTCTTAGACACATACTCCAGAAGCCAGACGTCTCAGAAAGATTGTTGAGATGGGCAATTGAACTTGGTAAATTTGACATAGAATTCAAGTCGTGACCCGCAATTAGGGCTCAAGCTTTAGCTGACTTCATAGCAGAACTCACTCCGAGGCCCCCGAAAACACAGGTTAAAGACCCTAGCATGACCTTGAAAATATGGGAGATCTTTGTAGATGGAGCATCCAATAGCTAGGGCTGGAGGGCCAGCGTCATCATCACCAGCCCAGACAAGGCTACAGAAATATAATTTGCTCTCAGATTTGAATTTGAGGATACCAACAACGAAGCAGAGTATGAAGCCATTATCATAGCCCTAGAACTTGCAAAAAGTCTTGAGTTAGAGCCTGTCAAAGTTTTTAGTGACTCATAGCTAGTGATCGGGCAAATCGAGGGGTCTTTCGAAAGAAAGGACGAGAAGATGAGTTTATACTATCTGAAAGTACATGACCATCAAAGGCAGTTTGTAAGTTGTGAAATCCTGAAGGTGGCCAGAGCTGATAACGCCAAAGTTGATGCATTATCCAGACTCGTCTTCATGGGTGTGGACGAGCTCGATAGAACCGTGTACGTCAAGATATTTGTAGAACCCTACATATCTCAAAAGCCAAGTGTCATGGACATCGACCATGAGCCCTCCTGGATGAATCCAATAGTTGATAACATAAGTAATGGCAACCTACTTGCAGACCCTCGGCTTGCTAGAAGCATTCGGTATAGAGCTGTTAGATATTGTCCAATCGAAGGAGTCCTGATCCGTAGAAGTTTTTCACTCCCTTATCTAAGATGTCTCAAACCATTCGAGTCTCTGCAAGCCTTGATTGAAGTTCATGAAGGCATTTGTTGAAATCACCAAGGAGGCCGAGCTCTTGCATATAAGTTGATAAGGTATGGGTACTACTGGCCAAGTTTGAAGAAAGATGCTACGGATTACGTTCGAAAGTGCGACAAGTGCCAAAAGTTTGGCAACATCATACATGCTCCTACTGAAGAGCTAACTTCCATTCATTACTCGGCTCCCTTCGAACAATGGAGAGTCAATATTCTTGGGTCATTCCCCTTGGCCTGAGGACAATTAAAGTTGGTAGCTGTGGCGGTAGAGTATTTCACAAAGTGGGCAGTGGCTGAACCACTGGCAATAATTTCGAAGCCGAAGCTCAGATCATTCATATGGAAGTCCATCATATGTAGGTTTAGAATACAAAAAAGTCCTCATCACAGCTAATGGAAGGCAATTCGATAACCCACAGTTCAGGAGCTTTTGTGTAAACCATGGAATTGATCATCGCTTGACCTCGGTACCACATCCACAAAGTAATGAGCTTGCTGAAGTAGCTAATGGAATCATACTTTAGGACCTTTGAACAAGAATAGGGGATGCCAAAGGTGACTGGCCTGATGAACTGCCTTCTATACTATGGGCATACAGAACTTCGTACATGACAGGAATTGGTGAGACACCCTTCATTCTTGCCTTTGGACAAGAGGCAAACATTCATATCGAGGTCAACCTCCTCACAATAAGGAAGCTCGAGATGAGTAGGGATGACAAACTACTGAACACCTTGACTTGCTAGAAGAGGTAAGAGAACAAGCCTCACTTAGAGCTAGAGGCAAACATTCCTATCGAGGTCAACCTCCCCACAATAAGGAAGCTCGAGATGAGTAGGGATGACAAACTACTGAACACCTTGACTTGCTAGAAGAGGTAAGAGAACAAGCCTCACTTAGAGCTACAAATTATCAAAACAGAACGACAAAGTACTTCAACAAAAAGGTACAGATGAGAATGTTCAGAGCTAGCGATCTTGTCCTTAGAAAAGCAGAAACTGCTGGACACCTACCAGGGAAGCTCGGACCAACATGGGAAGGACCATTCGAGGTTATAAGAAAACTAAAAGGTGGAGCTTATAGCCTCAGGGACACATCGGGGAAGCCGCTCTCAAGACCATGGAACGCCGACAATTTAAAAATTTATTGCAACTAGTTATAGCTATAATTTTTCCTTTAAGGCTTGTATGCCCACATTATGTTTGCTTTATTTCATTTTTAATTTTCTGGCTCTAACGCCTAACAGTTCATGCTCCAATAAGCTCGGGTATTAATGCCCTTGAGCCCTTTTAATAAAACACGAATTTTTCTTTACGTTGTTGCTTCCATATAAACAAAATTAGCATAAGGCCGTGCCCCGTGCATGCAGTTAATACTTAAACAAAATTAACGTAAGGTCGTACCCCGCGCATGCAGCTAATACTTAAATAAAATTAGCGTAAGATCGTGCCCTGTGCATGCAGCTAATACTTTAACAAAATTAGCGTAAGGTCGTGCCCCGCGCATGCAGCTAATACTTTAACAAAATTAGTGTAAGGTCATGCCCCGCACATGCAGCTAATACATTAACAAAATTAGCATAAGACCGTACCCCGCACATGCAGCTAATACATTAACAAAGTGAGCATAAGGCCATTCTTCTCGCATGCAGCTAACACTTAACCATGGCAATAGGTCGGGACCATCAAACCCGCCCTATTCGATCCCAAAATGCCCTCATAACAAAGAATATCAACATCAAGGTTGGGGTATGAAATTAGAGTTTATCATACAAGACCATACCCGATCTTATCCACAAAGGAAAGAAGTTGTCTAAATTACAAGGTACAAGCCTGAGCTTATCCTTTAAATCATCAGCGACCCAATGGTCACCCCTCGATATAGGATATTGAAAAATCAGTTTACAGTGCACTACTCTAATACTCGAATTCGTTGACCCCAAGCGTGACATCCCTACCCAAAGCTTGAAAATACATTATCGACAATCAGTATCCTCGAGCTATCACACACCCGAGGTAAATACGTCAACATTCGAGTTGCGAAATATAATCTATACTAATAATCGATCTTTTAATGATCCATGCATAATCATAATGTCATCCATGCACAATCATAATGTCACGAACTTAAAATTCATGCACGAGCTTATAATAAAGGCAAGTCACATGAACTATACAAACGATCGAGCTAAATAGCCATCATAAGCGATCTTGTATAAATAGAAAAGAAAAAACCAACATCGATCACATCTCAAAAAGAGGCAATAAGCCACATAAGGCAATGTACTTTACATTTCACAAACAAAACTTCAAAACTTAGGGTCGGGGAACCGAATCTATGTCAACAACCCTGACATCATCATGATCACCAATCCCAGCCTCGTCACCATCCCCATCACCATCACAAATATCATCATCATCATCATCAGCCTCTGAGGTGGAGAGCTCGAGCTCAGTAGCTAGCACATTCACTGTCCTTAGCTCCTCTACAACAGGCCTTAAGTCCTCAGGAAGCCTTATTTAGAGAAAGGAGCGAGCAAGCCGCAAGCCACAATGACAGGAATCGGAGCCATACTGACCAAGGAGGGTTCCAAACTCTTTCAATTTCTTGAAGTCCTCCACAACTTGAGCTTGAGCTTCGTCGCGAGCTCTAATCAGCTCCTCCTTGAAACCCTTCTTGGACTCAAAAAGCTCGAGCTTTGCTTCTTGAGCTTCCCCCTTGTGGATCTC